TCAAGCACACCTGTACAGGGCTGAAAGTCAGGTAACCAGACAAAAAGTATGTCTCTGCTTTTTCAGTACAGCTACCCAGAGGCCTATATATGCACAAATTTAGTTGTGGAGACATCAGCAGGTTTTAATAAACCACCTACAGATGTCTTGTTCTGTACAAATCAAGGAGTTTACATGTTTAAGTCTGGACTGATTTAACTAGCAATCAAGTGGCATGATCACACTTGGCACCAATAGTTGCCTCATATTTATTTATAAGTCACCCTGAGCAGATATTATTTTGTTTTTGAATTTATTCATGGTCTCAGTCACCTTTCCCAACTTGTGGAACACACACAGACAGACACGTTCACTTTCTGCAAAAATTTAAAGACAAACCTGCGTAATTAATAATCCTACTTTAGTAGCAGAAAAGCAAAGTGAAAAGTTCTTGCTTTGTTCCTCTGAACAAGTATGCTGAGAATTAATTTATTTTACATACATTGAGTAAAAGGAAAACATGGTAATGTATTGTTACTAATGTTGTGTCCTATCTTAAGAAACAGATTTTAATAGTGCCAATACTGAGGTGGAACAGGGATTAAGCATGCACTAAGGTTGATAGAGAAGATGGCTATATTTCTCCTTAAGATCTGACAGCTTCTTAACAAGACTTACTGAAGGTAGAAGGTCCACAGGCCTCATACTTCATCATGTTTTTTGACCACAAAATTATTGGCTCTTAAAAGTGAGACCCAGAAATTAAGACAACTGCTCTAAGCGTCACCTTCCAGACCTTCATCTCTGCATATGCTCTCCAACGCAGACTCTTAGATGAAACTTTGGTATTGCTGTCCTCTTTGGACAGGAAATAACTACTTCCTCCTATCCAAATGTCTCATCCACTTCTCAGGATCATTCCCTGAGCAGCTGCACCTCAGTGCTGGATTCAGGGACCAACCACACCTATCTCTCTGTAAGGCAAAGTCAGTATCTGCTAGGGCAGGACTCACAAATGAAGCTGGGAAGCAGATCCCATGGGAATCTAATAACTGGGGCCACAGGCCCTTTCTCCTCACTCAAAGGACAGACCTCCTCTGAGCCCAGAGACAACTCACTTTACAGGGACAATTATTTCCATTCAAGTGCACAGTTCTCACAGGAACTTACCTTCTTTCCTTCTCTTTCTTCTTCATATAAAAAATTATTTTGAAAATTGGAAAATATGTCTTTCTGTTCAAAAGGAGGCTTATGATATTGCTTCTGACTTCTGACATAATTTTTAATATGGTCTCTTTTCCTATTTACTCTCCATTTCTTTCTTGCAACAAGATGTAGCCTGAACATCTTGCCTTTAGAAGAAAGGACATGTGGAGTAAACACAGAAACAGAAATGGAAGAACAGCTAATTCAGGGAATGACTGTTGAAGAATGGAAGAAAAAGTGGTTTTCATAAGAGTAGTGCTTCCAGGAAAAGAAAGACAGAAAGAGTTCTCTCTTTGGGGAAAATATCAAAGATACAGCTATATATAAGGTTGATTTGGTCAGTGATGTTACTTGCAGCTAAGAAGGAGATGAAAAAAGGCCCTTTTTAAAAAAAATCTGGGCTCAGTGGAGCTTGACTATTCAAAAGCAATACTGTCTAATTTTTAGAAGGAAAACAGAATTACTGGGTCAGTGACAGTAAGGACCGGGACTCTGCTTTGCTTTCCTCTGCCCTGCATTGAAAAAACACGTGAGGTGGGCTCCTGAATCTCCTGGTTATCTTGACCCTAATTTACAAGGAATAGCAGTGTTTAGTCAAAGAACTCAGAAGATATTCCAACCTTTCTGGCAGAAGCATATTTACACAGGAGGTGACCTTGGCAAAAATGATGTAGGAACGGTGAAGCAGGATTTAGTCAGCCCTTAAAATGATTTGCTACAGGATGCACTCCACAATGGAGGGTTGCCGCTGTGACATGGATAAACACCCCTCCTTCAGTCAAAGCAGCACTGCATTTGCTCCTAACATGATCTGCTGCCTCTGGTAACCAGCAGTTTGTATCATAACCCCACCCTTGTAAAGCCCATTTTACAACAGCTGCTCCCACTGTCAACAATTTGGAGTTTGTGTATGTACAGGACAGGGGGAATACAGTCAAACATTTGATTAACTAGAATTGCATTGGAAAAGATCTTAAGACATATCAGATACCTCTAAAGGAAGCAAAAAGGATCAGCCAGTGTTAGTTATCTCCACATACGCTTGTATTTTCTTTTAGAACATAACTAGAATGATGAGGTTTAGACCTCTAGCTAGTCATAATAGGACTAATAATATTATTAACACAATACTACTAATATGAGTAATAAAATGACTAAAAATAATTTCAGAATATGCTGTAAGATACGGGATAGCTAGAACTCTGATTTCGTGCAGGAGATAGTACTGAAAATATTATTTAATTTTCATATTCAAAGCAAAGAAATTCTAAGCTTCTCTAGCTAGTCAAAGGTTATGTGACTCACAACACAAGTAAACCACACACACGTTTTATAATGTGTAAAAATGGAACACCAATACATGACAAATATTACCAAGGAATTATTATTGTGTGCTTTAGGTAGCTATTCCTTATTTCTTGTACAGCAATTAATAGTAAAATGCTTCTGAGCTTTTAAGTGAAATTAATTTAAGTGGCTGGAAGAAGTTCTCACTTTGCAATGCTATTAGTTATCCAGTTATCTTTAAGGTGCTCTCCATAACCCGAAGAGCTAGAAATTGTATACTTAGGTAATGACTCTCTCTGAAATATGAGTGCTAATGAACTTACAAAAACATCATGCCTGAATGGGCACACAAACTACCATACCTTAAAATTTTTTGAGGTGTATAAACCACCTTTCCAATTAAAGGATATGATATGCCTATGAATTTCTTTTGTCTCAAGTGCAACACATAACTGAAACATATTCTGAATGTTACTAGTGGAATGATATAAAAAGATGGTCTTGTGCCTTACACAACTCAAAATGATGTGTAAATAATAATTTTGTCTTTAAATATGCAGCATGCACTTTAAGTTCCTGAATCAGATTTTTATTTTATGGCTTGCTTTCATAAGTTTAACAGGAGTATCCCACATAGTTCACAAAATATTTTCAAAATGTGCCCTTTTTTGATATTCTTGTCTCAGAAATATTTTATGTATGTCATCACACTCATCTCTTTCTTAGAACATATAAATCTTTACTATGTTAACTTTATTATTAGCATGATCTATCAACGGATTCCTGCTGAAATATAAACTGAATAAAGTTCCAAGTTCTAAAGCTAGCCACTTCTTACTTCACATGCTGAAGGCAAAGCTGCTTTGCTTAGTACATGACTGATTTTTCATAATTCACTTGAGGAAACAGACAAACCAAGCCAAATTCTTGACTAAAAAAACCTGTGCAATTTCAGGAACTGAAAGGGACTGTACACATCTAAACTCAGCACAGATCATGCCACTTAACTCAAATGCCTCCTTTGTCAAAGGCAAGTCTCATAAAGTTATCAGGATACTCCAAGAGGGAGTCTTAACTTAGTTTTACCTGCTTCGTGTCCAGTGGTTTCATCCTACTGAATTGCAAAATTTCTAGATTGTCCTTCTTATCCATTTTGAACTTGTATTCTTATGGGTGTTCCTATTTTTCTGTTTAGTGGATTTCACAAATGGCAACAGGAGACGTGAGATATCTGGGAACTGGACTCTCCATTAAAATAGTAAATTTTGGCTCCTCAGTATTCTCAACACTAACTAGCTCTCATTTTATATGACATATTAACTTCCAAACCACATCAATTTCAATGAAAAAAAAAAAAAAAAGAGGTGTGTGTGAAATATTTAGCAAGGTTTAATTTCCTTCCTATGTCTGCTGAATTTTTACAACATAATGAAAAAATATGAGACACAAGTAAAGAAAAAGAGACAACCCAATCTCACCATCACTCCATGAACCAGAAAGATTTTGTTATGTGACAATATGATCATCATCACATGTGAGAGCTTTTATCCACAAGTATGGAATGACTCTGTTATCCCACCACCTTGACAAATTCCATTTATATTACATTCTCCTCAGGAATCAAAAAGAACTGTGTATTAAAAAAACCCCAAAACCTAAGACTTTAAGGACCAGCTGCTTCTGTTTAAGCCCAACTGTTTCAGTATTGATGCAGCATACCTAGGGCATGATGTCATCTGAATGGCCATCAGAATATACCCTGGTTGATCTTAAAAATATGTAGAGGTCTAGCCTCTCCTCTCTGAGTCTGTATAATTCCCACCAGTGGGGACAGGAGTTGCTCACATGCAGAAAAGAATATAAAGTAAATGACCACAATGGATTGAGAGGTGTGTAAATTCTAATAAAGAAAGAGACAACTAATTTCTTAACATTTACTTGTCCTTGCTATAACATAGTAGTTAATTTTAAAAATTAAAAAGAAAGAATAGTCTTCTAATGCTTTCTATTTGCTTTTATATGACCTTATGGGGATGGAAATCATTTTTTTATTCCAGTCCTTCCATCTCTCTCTCCATCCATTCATCCAACTGTCGATCCACCCCATCCCCTCCTTCCTAGTTTGCTGGTTTGATATGCATGCATGCAGATATTTCTACTGTATATAATTTACTATATATTTAATAGAAGTTTTTATTGTTCTAAAAGTTGCAGGGAGAAGAAAATAAATGTAATAAAAGCTGCAGCTTATAAGCAGAAGTACAATACACATGTTCACAGGCACACAGAAAGAACAGTGACATTTATTATCTAGCCAGTCACTTAAAAGAATGGCACAATATATACTATTCTGAATGCCAAACAACAATGAAAATCTTAAAGTGATAAAACTCTCTCAATGTCATGGGAACACAACTGTCACTTGTCATTACTGTGCATGTCTCTATTTCTTCATATATCCTAAACTGCCTATTCTTACATATTGCAACACATTTAATAATGTAGAAAATCAATTAATATTTACTGACCTGTCTCTGCTTCTCCGTGATGGGAACGCAGCATTACAACCAGCCACTGTGCAGACATGCATCTCTTTTAAATGAACATTTCTGTAGTGAAGCTTCACACTGTAGGAACTCTTGAAACTTTTCTTGCACACATAGCAGATCTTGGGGTCTGGGCTGGAGCACATTTCACCTTCTGGGGAGAACTTCTGAGGGCTGCTGTAGTTGAATGTAGAAGCAAAACTTTCATGAAGGGCAGCCATACTGGCACTGCCTCCATTGTACAGTCCATATTGGCTCATGTAGAACATGTCATATGTAGGATCTGTATACTCTTCCTTCACCTTAATGACATCCTGATTGGAAGAGTCATTGTGGTTTTCATCTGGTCTGTCACTGTGCATCATAGATTTTTCGCCAGGTTCATGGAGGCGATCGTCACCTTCCATGGATTCCTCACACAATTTGGGCTCTGATGACTCTGATTCATTTTCATAGTCTCTCTCATGCTCCTGGTCTTCTGATGTCATGCTGTCTGCCCTTCTTATGTCTGGTCTGGAAAGGCATCTGCTTCTGTCACTTTTGGAAAAGTCTTTCACAGACAGGCCTGGGCTCATTTCCTCCTGAGAATGGCAGTGATTGTCATGACCAATGTCATTCACCATTGTGCTGCTGTCATTCACCTCTTCGTCTTCATCATCAAACTCATCAGCAGTATCGATAACTTCCTTTTCAATTTTAACTGGCATGCTTGATTTCCTTGGCTTCTTCTTGGGGGCAAGGTCAGCATTAGGCTCTGGAGTGGGCATCAGCACTGAAGGTACTGATGACTCTGAAGGAGGAGGAGGAGGATGCTCCATGCCACTCACTGCTGGTATTATTGGACTAGTAGGAAGTGAAGTTGGAGGACTTACCATCTCTCCAGGAGTAAGTAAATTTCTGTAAAACGGAGGAACAGGTTGGACAGTCTTTAAAGCTGGGAACACCAGCTGACTGGGAAGAGGGTTCTGTAGTACAGGATCTAGAGGGGGAGTGGTAAACCCCATTGGTGGACGCCCAGGACTTGTTAAAGTTAGGTTGGATTTTGTACTTGCTATGACTGGAGTGGCCGCACCTGATGTAGCACGAATTAGATCTTTGTCACGGTTGTTCCTTAACATAGGCATGTGGAGGCGGGGATTGGGGTTAGCACTGTGGCGATTGCGGCTTCTGAGAGAGCTGAAGACCATGTTGCAGCCCTCAATAGTGCACCGGTGCTTGATTTTCAGGTGAACAGCATTGTAGTGGATTTTAAGAGTACCTTTGTCATAGAAAGTTTTACCACATGCATTGCAAAACACCCTTCCTTTCCTCGAGGCTGACCCCATTCTCCTCATTCTGTGAATGCGGAATGAGCTTTTAGCGTGTTCTGGTTTTGATAAATCATTGACAGGCGTAGGTGTCTGAACAGGAGACACACAGGCTGGCTCAGTTTTGGGCTCAACATTTGTGATGCTGGTCAAAGCATTCCTGCTGGATGTTTGCTCATTCTTGAAAGGCGTAGGGGAAACTTCAGATTCACTGCTCTCGTTATACTCATTTTGGGTCGTAAGGCTTGGTTCACGAAGCCTCATTGATGGCTGTTCCAGCAGGAGGCCATTTGGAGGCAGCCCCAGCAGCGGAGCAGAGACTGGATTTATATACTGGAATGGAAGCAGGAATGCAAGGCTATTCGGGATATTTTCAAAATGATGAATGCTGGAAGGGTTGCTATTCTCCAAGTGAGCAAGGAGACTTGGGCTCCTGGTGCGATTATTGCTTTCAATAAAAGTCCTTATATCTGAATCTGTCTTTGAAGATGGCACAGCCACAGCCTGCCCTTCTTTTTCTTGAATTGCCATCAGCTCTACAATGGATTTGGTTTCTCCAAATCTCAGGAACTGCTGAAGGGTAATGATCTCTTCTTCCCTGGACATGATGGCCCAGCGGTCCAGCACTTTGCCTGCAGCATCCTAGAGGCCATATCAAAGAAACAACAAAGACAAACACAAAGAAAAAACTTATTGATTCTGTATAATTATTGAATTCAATAGAAGGTGTTCTGCTGCCTGAACATGAAACACTAAGCTCAAAAAACAACATCCAAACAGCATTAATAGAACCTGACCAAAAAAAAAGCAAACTTTCTAGCCATGCAAATATAGTAATTAAGAGTTACAGTCAGAGAAACAGATTGAGCTTAGTAATGTCAGAGCAAACAAAATGTAGACCACGGGGCTCTGTGATCTAAAATGCTTTGAATACTTTCATTTTAACAATGGTGATCTATGTACAATGCTACTGTTTAGCACACATTAGTGTAAAACATGAACTGTTGCTGTATTGCTCCAATGTAAAATGTAGAAAGTTGTACCTTAATTACTATTAAATGGTGCACTATAGAAAATTGTACCTTTATCACTATTAAATGGTGCATTTGATAGATTTGCTTCTTAAATATAACCAGAAGTCATTCATAGGCCATCTCACAAGAAATTTTGACACAAGACAAAAAGACTTAAAAATAGCACATAACACTTGTACCTTACTACTTTTTTTTAAAAAAATCTTTTTTCTTTTTTTTTTTTTTCTCATGACAGCACTACTGAAAAATATATTCATTATAAACTTTCATCAAAGATAGAATCTGGGGCACTGGTTTTAAGCATAACTGGACTATTACTGGCAATTGATTGTAAGCTTGCAATCTTGAAATGGTTAGGCTTAAGAGGTGACTTCTTTGCAGTGTTGTTATAAATGACAGTTAAAAATATGTAAAAAGTAAGCATCTGATAGATGTAGATAGCATAAATGTGTAAAAATGTTGTATCTTAACACTGCCTTCTGATAGCAAGGGAAAAATCCAGAGAGAATACACATCAGTAATCACTAGACTATCTGTTGTTAAATATACATTAAAAAGCATTTCACACTTTCATTTTTGCTAGTAAGCATGAGATTTGCCTGAAGGTAGGACTTAAAAATTCTGCAATGTAATGTCAGGCAAGCCACTCCAGCATGTATTGATAAAAACATATTAAAATAATTATATAATGAATACATCATTTTATTTGCATCTTTCCTTTTGGGCAAATGGTGGACATAACATCAGAACAGTAACGATAACCAGCAAGCACTGTTGCAGGCCATCAAACCAGAATTATTCCATTGCTACCTCATGCAATAAACAGTTTGGAAGCCTTGCAAGATACTCCCCTGTACTGTGTCTGATCTTTTAAAATTTTGAATATCAACTTCAGAACCTTATCTGAACACTTTAGACTATGCACTATTGCAAAAGACGCTAGCTCTTGTTTAGTTATGGAGCCTGAAAATACCTTTCTTCCCTTCCTTCCCCCTCCCCCCGGCGATCTTCCTTCCTTCCTTCCTTCCTTCCTTCCTTCCTTCCTTCCTTCCTTCCTTCCTTCCTTCCTTCCTTCCTTCCTTCCTTCCTTCCTTCCTTCCTTCCTTCCTTCCTTCCTTCCTTCCTTCCTTCCTTCCTTCCTTCCTTCCTTCCTTCCTTCCTTCCTTCCTTCCTTCCTTCCTTCCTTCCTTCCTTCCTTCCTTCCTGCCTTCCTTCCTGCCTTCCTTCCTGCCTTCCTGCCTTCCTTCCTGCCTTCCTGCCTTCCTTCCTGCCTTTCTTTCTTTCTTTCTTTCTTTCTTTCTTTCTTTCTTTCTTTCTTTCTTTCTTTCTTTCTTTCTTTCTTTCTTTCTTTCTTTCTTTCTTTCTTTCTTTCTTTCTTTCTTTCTTTCTTTCTTTCTTTCTTTCTTTCTTTCTTTCTTTCTTTTCTTTCTTTCTTTCTTTCTTTCTTTCTTTCTTTCTTTCTTTCTTTCTTTCTTTCTTTCTTTCTTTTCTTTCTTTCTTTCTTTCTTTCTTTCTTTCTTTCTTTCTTTCTTTCTTTCTTTTCTTTCTTTCTTTCTTTCTTTCTTTCTTTCTTTCTTTCTTTCTTTCTTTCTTTCTTTCTTTCTTTCTTTCTTTCTTTCTTTCTTTCTTTCTTTCTTTCTTTCTTCTTTCTTTCTTTCTTTCTTTCTTTCTTTCTTTCTTTCTTTCTTTCTTTCTTTCTTTCTTTCTTTCTTTCTTTCTTTCTTTCTTTCTTTCTTTCTTTCTTTCTTCTTTCTTTCTCTCTTTCTCTCTCTCTTTCTCTCTCTCTTTCTCTCTCTCTTTCTCTCTCTCTTTCTCTCTTTCTTTCTTTCTCTCTTTCTTTCTCTCTTCCTTTCTCTCTTCCTTTCTCTCTTCCTTTCTCTTTCTTTCTTTCTTTCTTTCTTTCTTTCTTTCTTTCTTTCTTTCTTTCTTTCTTTCTTTCTTTCTTTCTTTCTTTCTTTCTTTCTTTCTTTCTTTCTTTCTTTCTTTCTTTCTTTCTTTCTTTCTTTCTTTCTTTCTTTCTTTCTTTCTTTCTTTCTTTCTTTCTTTCTTTCTTTCTTTCTTTCTTTCTTTCTTTCTTTCTTTCTTTCTTTCTTTCTTTCTTTCTTTCTCTCTTTCTCTCTTTCTTTCTCCCTCCCTCCTTTCCTTTCCTTTCCTTTCCTTTCCTTTCCTTTCCTTTCCTTTCCTTTCCTTTCCTTTCCTTTCCTTTCCTTTCCTTTCCTTTCCTTTCCTTTCCTTTCCTTTCCTTTCCTTTCCTTTCCTTTCCTTTCCTTTCCTTTCCTTTCCTTTCCTTTCCTTTCCTTTCCTTTCCTTTCCTTTCCTTTCCTTTCCTTTCCTTTCCTTTCCTTTCCTTTCCTTTCCTTTCCTTTCCTTTCCTTTCCTTTCCTTTCCTTTCCTTTCCTTTCCTTTCCTTTCCTTTCCTTTCCTTTCCTTTCCTTTCCTTTCCTTTCCTTTCCTTTCCTTTCCTTTCCTTTCCTTTCCTTTCCTTTCCTTTCCTTTCCTTTCCTTTCCTTTCCTTTCCTTTCCTTTCCTTTCCTTTCCTTTCCTTTCCTTTCCTTTCCTTTCCTTTCCTTTCCTTTCCTTTCCTTTCCTTTCCTCCTTCCCTCCTTCCCTTCCCTTCCCTTCCCTTCCCTTCCCTTCCCTTCCCTTCCCTTCCCTTCCCTTCCCTTCCCTTCCCTTCCCTTCCCTTCCCTTCCCTTCCCTTCCCTTCCCTTCCCTTCCCTTCCCTTCCCTTCCCTTCCCTTCCCTTCCCTTCCCTTCCCTTCCCTTCCCTTCCCTTCCCTTCCCTTCCCTTCCCTTCCCTTCCCTTCCCTTCCCTTCCCTTCCCTTCCCTTCCCTTCCCTTCCCTTCCCTTCCCTTCCCTTCCCTTCCCTTCCCTTCCCTTTCCTGTCTTCAGAGGGTTGATTCTTCTCTCCCCTCACATTTTCTAAAGTACCAGAAAATGCAATTTGCCCCAAATAGTAAAGTATATATTTATTTGATTACAGCTGGTTTTATTATTCCAGTTTTGATCTCTGTTACCTCTGTGGATACAAAGTTAATGATGAAGGTCAATGCCATGTATGTTTCAGTACCTTAGATGTGACTGTAAAACCTTTAGAGAGGCTTCGTACATGACCATTCACAATCAAACTTTACAAGACTATGAAACCCTCAACAGCAATTAATTACAGAATATCTTACTCAGCTGACCTAGATGGAAAGCCCCAGAAACTATCTCTATGCAGAAAATGTTCAGCATGTATTTACACAGTGATGAAGGAACATCATTATGCAGATGCTGGTCCTGATTTGCAGCATTAGTCAGGAAACGTCCCCTCCTTTAAACACCTTTAAGCACTGTGCACTTTTCTAATTTCTATGTTCTCCCAATTCTACCTCTCTGATGGAGCAGTATTTCACAGGCAGTCAGTGCTATCTAGTAGAAATCATTCAGAACATCAAAAAATCCCACCCAACAACAAAACAAAGTGAAACAGAAAAAAACCAAAATGGGGCGAGGGGAGGGAAAAAAAGAAACCTACCAACATCACAAACAAACAATTAAAGGACAGTTAATATTTTAAAGTTCTGAGATTATATATTTTTTCCCCACCTATCTAACTTTGGCTACTCTCCCCATGAGCGTGACTTAAATCTTCTTACATCTATTTCTCCCACAGCTTCCAGCCAGCCATACCGGTTCTAGGTTTGAGTAATGCCTACCTGGAACTGCAAAACCAGACTCAGTTCAGATTTTGGTCTCCAGGCCTTCACTGTCACCTCCAACCCAATCTATATGCACACATTTCTAATCCGAAGCCAAAAGTATTATTTCCTTCTAACTGCAACTTGCATTGTTTGAAGATGGAAATAACATCATCTAATTTATACTGTTTACATGTATTGAATTAGGATTCCTGTCTGCAGCCAGCTGCAGGCTTCTTTGTAATGTACTACTAGTAGTAATTTGTTTTGGTTTTGCTTTAATTTGTAAATCACTCACAGGCTTATGTAACAAATGCATGCTTTGCAAAAATGGATATTTAAGTAAATAAAAATTAAATACTGCCAGCATGACAATAACTCACGAGAATAGTAGGTACAGATCCTGCAACAGACTCCCACATGCAAGTAGAAGTTGGTATCATATAGCCCCACACCCAGTGGCAGAGCACCCAGCTCTTTGCATGCACAGAATAGGCAGACCTTGTCTAAATGCAAGGGCTCCCAGTATGCTATCAACAAGTTATTCCACATCTTAACTCAGAGAAGCTGGCAGTTGGCTACATGAGGTACCTCTCAGTGAGACACCACCACCCTTTGTTTCATTTAATTTAAGGACTTGCAGTGAGGAGGGCCAGACCTTCAGCAGCTGCTAAATTCCACTGATCAGAGAAACTGACAGTCAAGGGTGTGATTGTCATGGGGTTACCTTTGCTGTCACAGAAACAGCAGGGAATCAGAAAGCTCCTCTTAAATGATCCTTGGCTACTACTGTTAGTTATATCAAGCTAGATCTTGTTAATTTTCAGCAAGAAGTTGTTTGGCTTTTTTTCTCCAGCAAAAGTAAAGAAAAATTCCACAGATGCCTATATTTCATAGAAAATACACTACTTATGGATACTGTGT